TCTCCCATAAGATAGATTATACTGATAAAAAAAAAGCATATAGTCATGGGTTCTATTGAATATGAGCATGTTTGCCTTGAAGCTTTGAAGTCTTTTTTTTCTTCTCTAAACTATGTAATTAAAGTCTATGTGATGACCACAGCAAAAGAAAAAATCACCAAGCAAGTTGAGAAGTAGCATTCACGAAGTTTCAGATAGCCTGATGAAGATTTAGTACAGTGCCCTCCCATTGGGACTTTGGGACTATTGAGGAGATTGCCATCCAGGAGTAGTCCTTCAAGGAGAATTTATTTGTAACAATCGTGCTCAAGATGAGGAGACTGCAGTCACCTGGCTGGAGGCTGTTTTGAGCCATGCAAACTTGGAGGGGGTTGAATCCTGGATGTTATTAAAGGAGGAAATAAGAAGGATATAGAAAAGAAAAACATTGACTTTGAGAAAAGAAATTGCTCTTACTGATGCATTTTTCATGAGACGCTCATGCATTGGTGGATGTCTTCAAGAGACTCATGGTTTTCATTCAGCGTCATTGTGCCAGAGCAAGGCTAGAAAGCTATTCAAAAGAAGTCAGATGTTGAAAATTGGCAAGAGCCCATGCTGGTAGTGTACAGGAAATGCCTTCATGCTCTGGTTGCATATCATCCTGGTCACATAATAGATCTCTTCAGTTGAAATTCATTATTTTGGCTGCCCTAATGATCCAGATGGTTTCGATTAGCCTTCCTCTAATAAATAAAGAATGAATAATTGCAGAAAGATTGCCATATTTTTATTCAGATTTTCTATACAAATAGTATATTAGGTTCTTGGGATTTGAGCCTGCTTCATGAATACTTTATTCTCATTTGGTTTACCAATGTATGAGATTTTAGGAGTAAAAACACAAGCAGATGAGAGCATTTAAATTTGATTTATAATAGGTGGATGACATTCCAAGTTTGAGTTGTTTCATCATTCTAGAAGGCAGTCTACAGTGATCATAGTGACTTATCAGCATTTTATCTTATTTTTTTGTGGTCATAAGCTTCTATAGTTTTTATTTCCTGATTAAACTGTTCAAAGTACAGGGTGATCAAAAAGTCCTGCAACCCATGGCAGCATTCAGTATTTACTAAGAAGCCTTTATAGTAGGTGTTAAAAATGATGAAATAGTATGTAGCATTTTGCAAGAAAAAGTCTCTGCTGAATTGACATTCCTTGCCTGCAACAAAAAAAATTAAGCAATTATAGTTGAACAATCATTTGTCCCATGAGTTGTGGGACTTTTTGATTGCTCTGTACTCAGTGCACATGGCAATATTGACCTTCATAATGTACATCTTGCATGTTTATTTCATGTGTCATTTGTTGAACATGGTATGTCTGCCTATGTGGAAAAATCACATGATTTTATGAGACGTAAGCATATATGATAAATGTGACATATACAAGGAGTGTTCAAAAAGTTTCACGTCTAAGACACTTCCATTGTAATACACCATTATTACTTTTCCCTTTGGGAAGACATTTGTATTTGATGTGGACTGGCAAAATGTCATCTTATTTGGGAATGATAGGCAGCTTCTATCAATTTTTTTCAATGTGCAACCAAAGAGTCAGCAGAAGGGGTTTTAAAATGGAGACAAATGCTGTGATGAATTTTCTAAACTTGAAGGAGTCAAATCTCCTAGCAGATTATTTAGGAGAGGGTCAATTGGACACTATCCTCTCAGCTACAGAAAGATTAACTAGAATATCAACTCCTTGAATGTTAGAAAATTCATTACAGAACTCATCTCAATTTTAATACTCCTTCAGCAGACCCTTTGGTTGCAAATTGAAAAAAATTCATAGAAGCTATTCATCATTGACAAATGAGATGCAATTTTGCCAGTTTTCATCAAAGACATATGTCTTTCTATTAGAAAAGTAAGAATTATGTTTTGCTACTTTGGGCTGGGAACTTTTTGAACGCCCCCTTGTATGGTCCATTATATATGACGAAAAGCATCATTTTATATCTTTTTATTGAGACAAGGAGTATAGCATCTTATAATGCAGGGGTCCTATATAAACATAATAAAGGTCATGAATGTCAAAGATATGGAGCAACAGATGTTTATATGACTTTGGTTTGTCTATTTTGTATATGGCAGGCCTGGTAGGAGATATGACCAGGTTTGATAAGAAACACATAGAGCATATTCACCGTATCATTCAGCACATACACCACACATACAGCCTGTTCACATCATTCAGGAATTATGCTGTGAATATGCACTTAATCTGTCACTTCCATGAAATTGAAAATACAAAAAAGCCTCCCTATTGTGCTGAAAATGAAGTGCCACATGCTGGTTTTTTTTTATTGGTTCAGTCCCTTGAGAACATAGTGGCTTTTTAGGGTCATAAATGTAATTCTGACAATAAAGTGTAATACAATCTGCAGCCTGAGAGTTCTGGTGCTACTTAAATACCACTTTCAACCACACAAGTATATTCAGACCTGGTGCCTGGGGATCAAAGTTTGATTATGCAAATACTTGAGCTCAGCAATCAAAGGACTAATAAGGGATGAATGAGAAAAAACTTAAGTAACCACTGCAAATTCTCCATGCAAGTGCCAATTAGGCATTCATTACAGAATAATCAGCTTGTTCATCTTGCATCCTGTTCCTCTTCCTTTTCCCAGCTCTACCATCTTTTAATTGAGAGCTAAGACCATGTCAGACAACTTTGCCTTTGGAAATTTTGCTAGTACAATTGCTGCCATGAGTCTCCATGGGTTAACAAGAAAAGCCAATATTTAACAAAAATTTAGACATTGATTTTGTTTTTCTTGACTGAGAAGCACTCAAGGAATCTGACAAAAACCTATTATTAATCTAAAATTGGACCCAGGCACTGCCCATGAAATGAATGATACAGATCAAGTGAAGCAAATCATCTCAACATGTCAAATATTTAGTTGAGGCATAAATATTTCAAGTTATATTGACTGTTTCCATCCAGCCTGCATGATCTCTACAGATGTGAGGGATGATATAGCAACTAGCCATATCTGATTTTAGTTAATGGGAAGGTCAAGTTTCCCACTGTATTGAAGTTTCCCCTCTTCAAAAGGATGTATAAATGGAGAATGACTAAAAGAAAGAGGCTCCCCACCTTTTCCCCTGTATCTGCTCTTGCTGGAGATATTTTGCAAAAGATACTCTGTGCACAGACCAATATGCTCTTGATGGATTTATTCAATTTCAAAAAAATTAATTCTGCCTGAGCAATCTAATGAGCCTTTATTCAAGAGAAACTTGAAGTTGTTTGTTCCCATTCAGTGCTGTCAGTATAATTCATCAGAGGTGGTAAGTAAATTTTCTAAGTAGAGATTCTGAAGAAATGTTATGCAAACTCACTTTTGATCCAAATTGATTCAGCAATCATTAATTCAGGAAAAACCTAACCTAAAAAACCTAAACCAAACCATATTGAAAAAGCCACCTAAAAGAATGAGATGTGATGGAATGTCTGATATAACCTTGATATGCACCCACAGCTCAAAGGCATCGTCTTCATTTGATAGCATGATATGGATTCCTACTGACTTCAATTTTGAATTTCTTGTAATTGCCCATAGCTTTTCTGTAGCATTGTGAACATGGATGGAATTGCAGTGTTATTGAGAATGTATCAACCTGTGCACAAATCACAATTTGTGAAAGTACAGTAAAAACTCGTTCACTCGAACTTTTTAGGACCAGGCAAATATTTTCGAGTTATCTGAAGTTCGACTTATTAGGAATTGCCTCTACCCGTAAAAAAAAAAAGAAGAAAGAAATAAAAATAGAAATTACTCACGTTAAGGGCCATAATAGGGCGATTTTTCCGTTCTCAATAATCCGATTTCAAGGAGCGATGACCTCATTATAATTGGCATTTATACATGTCTATGGAAAATTTGATGCTCCATATGCAAAATTCATTCATTACAATGTCCTTCATCCGGTACTCCGGAAACCAAATATGACTGGAATGGCCGGAAGTGAGAGCGATAGACAGACAGGGAAAGTGCTAGAGCAGTGGTTCTCAACCTGGGAGGTGTCACCCCCCTGAATGCATGAAGGTTCAATGGGAGTAAAAGGAAGGTTGAGAACCACTGTGCTAGAGGTTGCTTCTATTTATAACAGAAGCGTTTCGGTTTTAATCCTCAGGTTTAATCCTCTCCACAGGCGTCTGGGAGGGTGGAGGGAGAAGCAGAAACAAGAAAGAAACAAAAGGATTTTCTCCGAATTGGTTTCTTGCCTTTCACCTATTCAACAAATCGATAGGTCCCACAATAATTTACCCCCCCCCCCCCCCTTCACACCTCGATTTCGAGTAATCATGAGAAAGTCGTAATAGGGAGTGAAAATGTCATTCGAGATTAGCGAATTCGATTTTAACGGAATATTTAACATGGTGTCTTACAGGATTCGGTCGGGACCAGGCATTGAATTTCGAGAAGAGCGGAATTTCGACTTATCGGGATTCGAGTTAACGAGTTTTTGCTGTATCTCGTGTTATAATTGGTATATGAGCTAAAGTCAGGAGTCTTTTTCTTGCTATACCTTGTATGTATGTGTACCTGGAAATTTTATTGTGCTAACTTATGGTGAAAGTAGACAAAGACAGGGACACTGAGGCCACTTGTGACGGTTTCATTGTTTTAAGTCAGGGGTGTCAAACTCAAATCGGTCAGCGGGCCGCATTCCTTATCCTGGAGATGCCTGCGGGCCGCACCCATACTTTTTCACCTAAATTTTTGCTAACAATCAATCCAAGCGGAAATTTCAAGAACAGGCGGCGGGCCGGATGAATCATCTCCGCGGGCCGTATGTTTGACACCCCTGTTTTAAGTGGATGGGAGCTATGTGGAAACCTCTCTTTTTCTTATGTTTTTTTTTCTCATATTTCATGGTGACCTGAGTATGCCAGTCTTTCGAATGTTTGCAAAATCTTGTATAGTGAAATGTTCTCATATTCGGCAGAAGACTCCAAGAGAAGCCCGTATTTCTCGAGGGAAGGAAGTCCAGAATTTGAAGACAGCGAAGGCAATGAAGATGCAGCAAGCACGTTGGACTGGCTCGTCGAGACGCTCGAATCTCAGATCGAAGGCTTGAAAAGAAGTTCCTATTTCTCCAAGGACCAGCGCGAAAGGAAGACGGATCCTCTTCCAACAAATGCAAAAAAGAAGTCTTGGATCCCACCTAAGTCTCCATACAATCTTATTCAGGAACAGCTTTATCCTGATCCTTGGAAGCTCTTGGTTGCTACAATTTTTCTCAATAGGACTAGTGGTGAGTTCACTCCATGAATCATCAAGCTTTTTCACGTGTTTTGAATCCCTCAAAACAATAAGTTTTCTTCCTCTTTCACAGCAATTATTTTTGCCGTGAAACTATTTTTTTTTAAATTACTTTTTCATCTCTTCCTGTATGTATGGTATGTATGTACTTGCTTGTTATTCGTATGCAAATGCTGTGTTGTTATGACGAAGTGGATGCTCTGAAATGATACATGCTGACACGAGGTGGAACGCTGTTGAGCCAGCATTTGGAGAAGATTGATCGTAGCATCTCTAGTAGCACATAACATTGAATCAATGTTGAGTCAATATTATGTGCTACTAGGGATGAGGCAGGGGGAAGTCCAGCAGGCGTATTTATACACCCTAACCTAGACTGAATGAAAATCGTCGAATGATTCGTTTTCGTAGCCGCTCATCCTAACTAAACCCTACATGGCATGGGTCTTTGGGACCCATACTATTCAATACAGAAAAATGTAGCATATACCAGGGATGGCCAAACATCCTGACCTTACGAGCCGCATAACAAAATCTCCATATGGCCTCAAGCCTCAAGCCCAGAAAATCCCAATTGGGGGAGGGGGGGGAAGGGGGTTGACATACGGAAAATGATAACCCACCCTGATTATATGGCCAAAAAATTTTTTTTTCGAGAATCGAACCTTTAAAATGTATATAATATGTAGGGATATGACCCACATAACTCCCCCATCCCCTTGGGGACGCCACTGGCCACAACACACACACTGCTTTACACATGCATTATCCAGACCAGTGGGTCCCAAACTGGAATGTGGTACGTAAGAGGTTTCCAAGCGTACTTATTTTAAGAAACTTGCGTTATAAAGTACTAGTCTTACGTATTTTGTCTCATTCTGTTAATTTTGTTTAGTTTTGTTGTTTAGTTCGCACGTTAGGCATATATGGGACAAGTGATGGTACGCTATATACTGTACAGTACATTTATGATATCGACTGACGCGCCTCGTTTTTTGCCGCAGGGAAGTTGGCCATACCTTTGGTGTGGAAGTTCTTCGAGAAATGGCCCGATGCGAGAGCGGCCGCAGAAGGGGACTGGAAGGAAATGGCAACTTTACTAGAACCCCTCGGCCTGCATGAAAAGCGCGCCGACATCCTCATCAATTTCTCCAGTGAGTCTCCACTTTGAGGGATATGAATGATGAAATCCCCCCCCCCGTATGTCATCATTCGATAAAACGGGAGGTGTTATCCTCCGCAACTCCTCCTCATCGATGTAATGATTGTATTGATTGGAATATCTCGTCGGCGGTGATGTGCATCGCACCGGCCTAGTGCATCCCGCGAGAATGGAAGGACAGGGAACGTTTCATCGACTTCCTCGGAGTGGGAGTGTCGCGACGGCACGGTTGTAATTTCTTCGCTTTTTTTAGAGGTGTCGCGACTTTGCGAATCGTTCGAGTCTTCTCCATCCCCTCGCATATTTCGTACAGTCCTGGATTTTTCACCCTTTCTCGTTGCCAGGAGAGTACCTGGAGAAAGACTGGAAGTACCCGATCGAACTGCACGGGATCGGCAAGTACGGGAACGATTCGTACCGCATCTTCTGCGTGGACGAGTGGGATAAAGTGAGACCGGACGACCACATGCTGAATCTCTATCACAACTGGCTCTGTACCAATCGACACGCACTCGGCCTCAAGATCAAGTGACGGCGAGCGAAGACGAACGCCGTCGGTCTTTCTGAGTTTTCGTGGATCCGAATCTCCGTGTGATCGCGCGGCCGCGATGAAGATTGTGTCATAAATGTATCTTTTTTTACCCTTTCGTACCGGGCCGACGGGAACGCAGGCGTCCGATCGGATGGGGAACTTTCCACCGGGATGCAACGACTCCGTCGAGGTCGAAGGAAAGACGAGCCGATTTTCCCGGGCCGAGCTCCCCATTCGAATGTAGCCAAGTGGATAGGGGGCAGATGCGGAATCGCAACGTCGCAATGGTCTCTCTCGCCGTCGTCCATCCGGCTGTATTGCTGAATTGCTGAGAATTGCCAAAGAAACGCTTGAAAGTACCACTACTTGTTGAGATTCCTACTCGAATACGGATCGGTATTTTTCGAGTTCGTGCTAAAAGTCACATGTGCCACTGCTCAAAACGTATTAATGTATATGGCATTTCATCCTCTTTTGACCCTACTGGCAAGTTAATTTGCCGAATCCGCTTTCTTATACGGACCCGGGACGGTCCGAGGAGGAATGCGTCGAGTACCGAGTACCGTTCGTGGCACCCGGAGCAAAATCCGTGTTCGTTCTTGCAGGAATCCGACGACGGACCGTTTCGTTCGACGAGAATCTCGCTCGGACGTGCGTTTGCTCTCCGATCGTCCCTTCTCCGAAGCCTTCGATTTCGTGAGACCATCGTCGAGCGAAACGAGTGGAATGCTCGAACCCGAGAGAGAAGACGAGCACCGAGCCGAGCCTGGAGTGCCGTTTCGCAGGGAGAGAATCGCGAAACGAGACGAAGCTCTCCCTCTGGTTCTTGCATCCGCTTCTTTCGCCGGCTCTCGCACGCTCCGTTTAAGACGGGAACGTCGGAAAGAAACGTTCGGTTGAAGGCAGAGCCGATCGCGGTTCTCCCTCCGACTTTTGCATCGTCGGCCGTTCCCCATCCGATGCGCGTCCGCCTCCCGGCGTATCTGTCGCAGAGGATCGACCATCCCGACTGCGGAATGCGAGACCGTTCCGACCGGATGGAACCGTGTTTGCATCTTTTTCGTTTTCCATTTCTCACGAACGCAAAGACGAAGAGCCGTGCTTTCCGGATTCACCACTCGGGACGAAACGGAGTGAAGTTGGACGACGATTCCGATCGCGTTCGCACCCGCTTGCCAATGCGAGGAAGGACCAAAGAACTCGTTCGAGGAACCCACGGTCTGCAATTTCGCACGGCGGCGACGAGGAGAGAGGAAAATACTCCAAGATGCGGAACGAGGACGGATGGACCCCGAAGCTTCCTTGACCCCCCTTCCCCGTCACCATGTTAGCCGTTCCCATCGTCGTCCACCGAGGAGAGAGACGGGGCCCGAGATCGTGTTCTCTCATAGAGATCGTATATTTCATACCTAGAGCGGCTGGTGGCGCTAATGTAGTGTGAGGTTTGGAAGCCATGATAGCCGGGTCATCAATAGGCACAGTAGCGCCTATTTCACCATGCGTTTCATGCTTCCTGGAGTCATCCTCTCGTCAGACCAAGTCGAGACGGTTCGAGGAACTCCAGGTAGACCGAACATTCCACGTCCGCACTGAAAGGGTCCATGAAACTCGAATCGGTCTAACGTTACATGTCCTCTGAAATGGTTCGTGAGTCTGAATAGGCGTGCGATCCGCCTAGTGTAACACGTCCTCCACGAGATGTCGAGGAGACCATGGATTCATCCTTATAGGCCTAATTGGCCACGTAAGTGGAGGATTGAGGTTCTTTTGAACGGAAAAAGGTACGCTTAGGCCTGACCTGAAAATAGTCTATCTGTTAGGCCTATGCCTAAAGTTACTGAGTCCCGTGGAGGTTGAGGTTTTGGTCGAGCGTCAGGATGTGTTGGAGGATACTCTCGAGGTTCTGTCAGCTAAGTAATGAGTTGTTACCTGGCTACTTTGTAGCAGTACTCAAAAGTTTTTCTGATGCTACCTCCAACTTCACATTAGATTAGTATCAATCAGCTTAATTACATTATTATTAGCGCATTACTCGTAGTATTCCTTTTACTATAAGGACTAGGACAGAACAGTCTTACCGGGTTACAACTAGTGTGAAGTATTGCAAAGTGTAAGTCTAAAGCAGTAGGAGTGTCAATAGGGATCAATAACATTACAGTTTTTTTCCAATTGCTAAAGCTCTGTTTCATATCTCAATGGACATTTTTCAAAACTTAACGTACGATCCGCAAAACGCTGCGCTCTTTTCTCATATCTATGCGTCCGGCAGTCAAAAGGGCGTCCCTTTGTCAAAATCAAAGTACGTTCTTCAATATTCTAACGTACGGGGTTAGAACGTCTATGGACAGCCAAGAAGCAGACTGGGAAAATAATTCCTCCGAATACGGAAAGGCGATAATGTGATAATGTAATAGTCAAAACTTAACGTACCCGTGTCAAAACTGTGCGTACTGCTGTCGATATTCAATTTCCGCTCTCCAAAAGGGACAACAGAACGTCTTACAATCGATTTCTAACGTACCTGGAGNAATTTTTCAGGTGAAGGAAATTCAAGGTACATTTCATGCCTCAACTGAGTATAATTGATCTATTCTTGTGACAACCAGCGGCGAAGTCAGGAATTCGCCAATGGAGGGCTAAGGGAAACGAACAGAGTCTATTTTTCGAAACTCTTCCAGAGGGATGGTGGTAGTGGATGGATTAAGAACAGAGTTTCGGGGGATTTACCACTCCAGCCAGCGCATAACAGCCTGAAATATATGTTTATATATGAGCATAGATTGCTCATATATAAACATATTGTTGGAAAACTCTTACTTTTTTTTATAAAAATGACCGAAACATGCATAAATATGCACATGTTGAGAAATGTGTAAAAACATGCCTTTTTATGCATTTAAAAAATGGCAGAAATCGCTTCCTATACCAATAAGACACGATCCTATCTGGGTTGTATGTTCCTAGGAGGCTGCAAAAAAAAAATATGCATCCCTCGTCAGCATTATGTAAAAACATGCATTTTTATGCATTCAAAAAATGGCAGAAATCGCTTCCTATACCAATAAGACACGATCCTATCTGGGTTGTATGTTCCTATGAGGCTGCAAAAAAAAAAATATGCATCCCTTGTCAGTATTCAAAAAGAGTGCAGGGACGAAAACCCCTCTACGAGCCAATTGAGCGAGTCTAAGTTGGAAAGATTTGGCGATCATAACGTGAGATTTTCGCAATTAACACTCATATCTATGAACGAAAATGGTCCCCAAGGTCATACAACTTTCGTAACCTATGGCAAACAAAAATGACCATAAAATGGCTGACGGATGTGATCAGCTCAAGGCAATAAGCAACAATTTCCACCCATAAACTCGGGGCTGCAATTCCCTTTTCAACCCATTTTAGCTGGTAATAACAGAAATTAATTGTAAGTAAATACTCAAGATCAGGTATTTAGGATACCACTGAATCGCAGTCAGCATTATCGCTTGTCAATTACATTTCTGCATCGACATAAGAAATTCTTTCAACGTTTGAGACGAAAGCATTTAGCTCTGACAACTCTAAACGATGAGAAAATCTTTGTGATTGGTTGGAAGGGACTTGTTGGAGTATAGGACAATGGAT